GGTGAGCAGCTACAGGCGGGGCACTGTGCCTTCCTACAGAATCAGCACTCAGGATGGACACAGTCCTAGGGGGTGAGAAGTCATCAAAGAGTTTTAAGCAGGGAAATGGTGCTGTAACTTCTGCCACTGAGGAGCAACACTCAAGCTGTTATTCCAGACAATGGGTTAAGAAAAAGAAAGTGGCGGGAAGCAGAAGGACCAGTCAGGAAGATGCTGTGGTGATAGAGGCCAAGCACAGAAGTAGGCTGGACCAGCTGGGTGTGGCGGCGCACGCCTGTAATCCCAGCACTCGGGAGGCTGAGGCAGGAGAATCACTGCAAGTTCGAGGCCAGCTTGGGCTACATTGTGAGTTCAGGGACAGCCTGAATTACAAAGGGAGACCGTGCCTCAAAAAAAAAAAACAACAACAAAAAGAAGAAGTAGGCTGGACCAGAGTAGCAAGGAGAACTACTCAGGAGGTAGAACCCAGAGAACATGGGGACAGAGTCCATATGACAGGAGGACCAATGGTGGCATCCAGATGGCTGGCAACAGGAACTGGGTGGCAGTGCTATTGATGAGATGAAGAACAAGAAGCAAAGAAGATACAGGGACTTGGAAATACTCAGGGCTCATTTTCAAGAGACATCTCTTCTAAAATCATGCCAGAGTCTGTTTTCCAGGTAGGTCTTATTTCCAGGGAAACGCGGCAATTATATGGTACTGAGTATACAGTATTCGTTCATTCAGCATTTTTAAGCACACATTTTTGGAGCTCAGACATGTATCTCTGTTACAGCACTTATTTTTTATCTGGGATAATAGTCTTAATATATTGGGTATGGAGTATTTCTGTCAACTTTGAATCACTATATTGCAAAACAATCTCGTCACAAATATTAGAACCATCAATGAACATGTAAGTGAGTGATCAGTCATTATAAGCAATTTTGCCAAAAAGCGTACTCCACGAAAAAGAGATTGATTTGAGCTGCCAAGTAGGCTGTTAGCAGAGTTGAATTTCAATGCCCTTGGCTCCACAACAGAGATATTAAGCATTTATTTATAGATTTAATATAAAATATTGACTAATGAGAGACAAACCCACATTCTCCTCACTCTGGCATACGTATGACTTAATATCAACACAATTTTCAACATCTGAATGAGAGTCAAAACCCATCAGAACTGAGAAAGTCCTTTAGACAGAATTACCAATTGCACTGTCTTCATGTTAGTCATCTCACGGGAAGAGGTACAGGTTAGCGACAGAAGGGCACACATGAACTTAAGCCACTACAGGCCCGGCTTCTTCAGACAACTGAAGGTGACCTGACTGAATATTTACACCACACCTGGCTAAGAGATATTCATAGGCAATAACGCTAATACACTGCCCTGAGGCTCAGTGAGGGGCCATCGGGAGGAAACACTGCCCACAACTACCAGCTGAGTACATGAGCCCTGCCGTGAAACCTTACAGAATCACAGCCTTCGCAGTGCTGGCCAATGGGCAGTATTTTTATAGGAGGAGCTGTTAGGTAAATGGATCTCAGAGTCTTCTTCTTTTCACCTCAAAGACACCTCAAAAACTATTTCTCCACAGTCACACTGCATTCTTTATCCCAAAGCTTCATGCAAAATCACAGGACAGGCGTTACGCTTTCATTGTACCAAAGAAGAAACAAGCTCAGAAACATTTTCAAGCACAGTTAGTAAGTAGCAATGATGAGACTGTGTGTCCTTTTGCCTGCCCAAGCTGTCTCCCGGGGACTGAAGTTTCTGAGAGGGTAAGTGAGCCACCTGAGGGCGGAGGACATTAATCCAGGCCAGCAAGCCATCGGCACAGCAAAGGGGAATGATTCATTGTGGGCCAGCTGCAGGGGTAGGCAGGGGGAGGCCTCGGACAACAGACCAGAGGCACCTCGATTCTCAACAGCCTCGGTTAAAAAGGCTGCGGGACACAAAGAGAGATGGCATTGCCCTTAACCACGTTATTACGTATAATAAGCTGAGTGATGGCTGCCAATTTTATGGTTCACTCCTAACTCTAAGGATTTATTTTAAGATCAATCATTATTTATCTAAGGCCTCTGTCTTTACAGCACCTCAGATGCTGTGCTTGGAAGGACCACAAAACCAAGCAGTCTGAAGAGATTTGGCTTTTGTGGACTTTACAGCTAACAAGAAAAATAGAATCTTAAACATGCTGAAAACCTGAGCCTGAGTCAGACATGATTTTTTTAATACCTAAGTTTTCGTTCACATTTTTGCATATAGCCACACATTTTACCAAAATGTCTATAATTCAGAGCGAGGAAAGGAGTCCGAAGTCATTAGTTGGAAGAGGCCTTTTGTTCAATAAAAAGCAAAATTCAAAACTGCAATTGAGTTAGTTGTAAGATGAAAATGCTTCAGCTAAATTAACAAGGAGGTTCTTGGACACTTTTACTAAGTTTTAAGTGTCCCTTATGGCTGAGAGAGTGGCAGGTGAGGATTATGGGAGCTTTTCTAAAATTTCAATCAACTTGAAGCAAAGAAGAAAAACATGACACACTTTTCATTCAGATGAATGATCAAAGCTGAGCACAGCACAGTGTAAAATATACAAGTACTTAAAAATCATTTGCCAAACTAAATGGAATTACAATAAATGCACATACACTTCATGCCTTTCCTCTACAATTTGAGGAAGTTGGAAACCACCTTTGAACAAACTCGACCCTTCAGTAAAGACTGTACAGTTGTTTGTCAAGAAGCAGAGAGTGTGGGGCCCGGGATTTAGCTCAGTGATTCCGGTGCCTGCCTTGCAAGTGCAAGGTCCCAAGTTCTCTCCCCAGTACCAAAAAAAAAGAAAAAGAAGCAGAGAGTGTAACAGGTACCAATATGGTTGAATGGTTACAAAATTTTCTTGGAAGGAACGGAAAGCTTTCTTTTTCAATGGCAATGACTATCTAAAACAACTCCAATTTTCTGGGCTTTTTCTTTGTAATGTTTGAGAAATCAGAGAAAAACCATGACAACCAATTCCTATAGCTGCAAAGACCTCGAACAGATGCCCCAGAGGGTGACCACCTCCACCAGCCAGGCTGCAGCTAACAGCTAACGGACAGTTCGCTGTGTCTCACAGGTAACACTGTGCCTAAAGCCCTCCATAGACAAACTCTTCAGAATTATTTTTTACTTCTTTTTCCTTTTTATTAGTACACGCTTGCAGCCCATCATTTTAGATTCCTTGTGTGGAGTTGGCGCCTGTGCATAACACAGCTTTATTCGTTTTCTCCTCCCCTTCCTCACTGCTCCCTCCACCTCAATCCCCTTTCTCACTTGAGGAAGATCTATCTCCCTATTTCGTATTATTTTATTTGCTCATCTTAACTCTGAAAAGTCTTGATGTTTCTTCCTTCAAAACAGTTTTCACATTTTACCTTTTCTGTTTCCAAATAATAATAATTACCATTTCCTGGCTGCCTGCTGTGTGCCAACAACATAGCAAAGGCACCCTACATGAAGTCCTTCACCTGATCCTCCCAACAACCCCACAAGGTGGGTTCAGCTACAGAGCTGAAGCTGAGGCTCAAAGAGATCCAATGACCTGCGCAGTATCACACAGCCAGGTGAGGACTCCAACTCTAATAGTGCAATCCTGGGGTCTTTCGTAGCAGTGCTATCCCACCTCTTGGACTTAACACCTAATTCTAGAAACTTCTAGGCATTCTCCTAATCTTTAATTTATCTAATGTTTCTCAAAGTTAAGAAAGTCTTTCTTAACTATTATTTTAATAGTGAATTTCCCATTCCAGAAAAATTACACTGGTCTCACACATCATATTGTTGATAATCAATCAACAATCGACATGTTCGTCTCTGTGATGAACCCGGAGAGCATTCAGTAAGCAACAGGGGTTATCACTGTGGAGTGTGGGAAAAGACACCCACGGAACTCCCTTACATATGCCAAGTGCTGTCACATGAACTTCAACCTACACTTTATGACTCCCAAAGGTAGAAACAGGACTGAGTAGGCATTGTGTCACAGGAGAACTTGATTTAGGCTCAACATATGAAATTTTTCAGACAATGAAAGCAGCCTGAAAATGGAACTGGCTCCCTCAGGAGAGACGGAGCTCCCTGCTAAATGGAGGCCAATTGCAGACATCTAAAGGCTTCCTGCGCTGGTGTAGTTAATCCCAAAGGGCCTGCAAAGGGTCTCCTGAGAGTTGACCACTGATTCTTACACACAGCAGGCGGCACACAGTAGTCACTCGGGACATCCCATGTTGTCCTTGTTTGGGGTTTCTTTGTAATCCAAGTCAAGGTAAAGAGTGCAGTCCCTATTTGGGTGGCATAATTTTGAAACAGGACTTAGTAGCACATGAGCCACGTTCTGGTCAACTGCCCTAACCAGATCAAGCATATGAACACCAAACCATTAAGGGATAACATTTGATAACTCATTCCCCAAGTCAACAATCTATCCTAAACTCTACAGTGGGGCGTGGCCATGTGAGTAATGGACCAATGGGGTATGTGCAACTCACAAGCCACTTTGGCACTTTCTTTTCCTACTTATAAGGGAGGAGGGAGATACAGTGGAGTTGGGCCAGTTTCACAAAGGAACATCCCAAGAAATGCCCCATCCCCAAAAAAACAAAAGGACCTGGATCCCTGAATTGCTTTTCAGAGCAGAGCCACCTACCTGTTTTGGAATAACTCTCCCAATATGAACCACTGGATGTTAGGATCTCTCTGTTAGAGCTATGTAAACTTCTAACAAATTCAATCTTTTTTTTTTGGTACCGGGGATCAAACTCAGGTCCTTGCGCTTGAGCAGCAGGTGGCGAAACCACTGAGCTAAATCCCTGGCCCCAACAAATTCAATCTATATAAAAAATCCCTTCATGTCCAAACCTCAGAGACTCATGTGTAAATATTCTCAGCTAAATTTCATCTGTAATAAAGATTTTATGAAAGGCTAAATTCAGATGTAGATTAAGCTAACAACCTAAAGCAAACAATACCTTTGAGGGCAAGGGTGCCACCACCAATGGTGCACTTCCCGAAAGCTGGAAAGAGAACAGAAGGAAAAGATACAAATGATAAGAAAAAAGGCACCTGAAGAAAATGACAAAGATGGTCCCTCGAGGGTCGAAGCACCAAGACCCTTACAGGAATAAGAAACATAACCTGTCTTAATCACCCATAAAATGTATGAGTCATGTTCAACTGTAAAGAACTAAATATCAAAATGTAAACTACTAGTAAGACACTGAAAGATTTAAAATAATCAGATAAACACAGTTAAGCTTTATGTCCAGTGCAATGCTCTTGTACCCTGTATAAAAGCAATTTTTTAAAAAGATAATAAGGTATCGGGCACAGTAAACCACAGTTGGTTTTCTCCAGATTTTTCATTAAGTTCAGAACAGCAAAAGTATCCTGTGCAGAATTTTCATTTCATATAAATAAAAACCTAATGTCTACATCCTAGGATTCCAACTTTTTATCTTATTTAATGCCACCTAGTCCACTATATTCTCAGCTGAACATATCCAATGGCAGTGCAGAGTACTGTTTTCCCTTTTGGCTTTTAAGAAGGTTTGCACATGGACAACCATTCCACAAGTTGGTCTCATTACCCTTAAAGCCAAATAGCAACTAATTCTCTGGAATGTGAGCTCACACAGAAATGACAGCTTTTATGCAGGCCGCACTGAGGACACTGGGCTTTATCTTGTTTTAATATCTTACATTACCATGAGAATGCATACAGGGTCCACAAGAATGACCCCAAAGCTGTGAGACAAATGCATGTTGTTTTAAGGCACTAAGTTTTACAGGGATGAATTACAGCAGTAATAGAAAACTAATCCTTAGTGTTTCTGACATGCAGGTTTTCAAGAGTGAGAAATCCAAACCCCAAATCCAGGAGTTATGTCTCAGACTCATGGCTGTTTCCCAGATGCCTGTGTCTTTCAATTAAATAATATATAGGCACCCAGCTCCACAGAGCTGCTGTTTTCGTGACAGAACAATACAAATTTGAATCATCTTAGCTGTTTTCTGCCCAGCTCCATTCCAGCCAAATCAATGTATTCTGAAATCATTGTTTATTTTTTGGAAATCTGAGATATCAGCATTAAAGGTTTTGTAGGATACAAAAACTAGATACTGAACCTAGGAGTGGGAACACACGGTTGTATCCTAGAAAGATCACAAGCCCCAGCTCCTCTTTGGGCAGCTTAGTGATATAGTAAGACTCTATCTCCAAGTTTAAAATATTTTTAAAGGAGCTGGGATGCAGCTCAGTGCGAAGACCCTGGGTTCAATCCCCAGTACAAAAGAAAGAGAGAGAGAGAGAGAGAGAGAGAGAGAGAAACTCTGCCTCCTCTGTGCCTCCACCACACATATTTAATCGCTCTGAGACTTGGACCAAGTTTCCTTACCTCTCAGCACCTTGCCATCCTCATCTGTAAGATGGAAATTATAGCAATAGCTACCTGGTGACCAGCTGTTATACACATTAAAAGTGATGCAAGATCTTAACAATGTTAGTCCCCATTATTATCCATGGAAACCTCCACTACCTATCTATGACATCATAAGCAATTTCAATTCAGTTGTTTAATTCTCGCAGGATAATCTGATTGAATGGCTCCCTGGAAGAACAGAGGAGCTGGTGGACAGCCATGCCTAGTGAAATGACCTCCCACTCGGCTCTCCAATTTCATACGATATAAACAGATGTTGGTCGTCTCAAGTTGTTGGTGTATAAATGTGCTATTTTTCATCTACGGACCCAGCCGAGGTCCTCTCTGTCCCTGCACACTCGTTATACATTAACTAATAGCTCCCTCACATTCCACAACATTCCAATCTCTTTCTGTCACTAGAAGTGTTCTTTAAAGCCCTTAAACACTCAGTCCTGTTCATTTACAACTTCACTCCATGTTTGGCCCAAGGTCCTCTTTATCTCCCTGCCTCCACCGCAAGCCAGGGGAGCCATGGGAGTGGCTGCTGCCGGGATAGGTCTGCCCTCCCGACTCATCGTTTTCTCTTCCCCTGAACTTTCCTTTGGGGTGTGCTAGACAAGAGCAGGAGAGGCCAGATCTCCCCAGGGGGTGGGCCCCATGGTGGGCCACATCCCCCCATTCACCCTTCCCAACCTCCAAATGTTGGCTCTCTGGGAGGCTGGCGCCCCACAGCACCCTCTTCCTGCGCCTTCCTTGACTGCTTCCTCCCTTCAGCAGCCCCTGCCCCAGCCTGCTGTGGTAGAGTTCCCTTATCCAAGGGCCTCTCCTCAGCTGGAGCAGCAGCCAGAAGCCTGGCCATCTTCTCAGAACCCTTTCTCCACACCCAGAACAGCACCATCGCCAGGCTTCAGCAGTCCAGTAAGGGCGTCTCCCAATGAAAAGGTGCACATCAGCCTGGTGCAGGACTGCTGGGTGCCCACCATCATCACCTGCTCTCTCCCAACCTCAAAAAGGGTTGTGATTCCTTTTCCCCACAAGGAGGTAAGTGGAAGAAACAGGCTCTGTTCAGGAACATACCTCCACCCAAGGTCACCTTCTCCCCCCCAGTTCTCATTTAGCCCGGGGAAGAGATTGAGCAACAACTGTAGTGGAGACTGGACAGGATGCCAGTGCTGGACACAAGAGTTCAGTCCTCTGACTATGTGGATGCTGCTTAGAGCCTTTTGTTTTGCACCTGGTGGTCAATTCCAATCCTCACAACTGCTCCCATTCTGCCAATTTCTATGATGATATGGTTGTTTCTCAGAAACACTTCGTCTACTGATTACATGTCATCCTGAGGGTGCAGCCATGAAGAATCCCCTTAGATTTTCCTAAGACTAGAAAAAACAGCAAAGCAGGTACCACTGATGGTTCCTGCAATGCATCTCCATCAACAACCCAGCCAATGGTCCCTCAGTCCTTCCCAGGAATCCTCGACTCAAAGAGCTGTGTGTCTACAGATTACCGTTACATAAGCGAGAGCTGCCCATTCATGAAAAGGCTCCAGAAGAACCAAAAGCCATCAGTTCTAAAACAAATTAATTCCAAAATGTACAATTTCTAGCAGGGTGAATGAGGTCAAGAATCATCTGGCTAGCCATCTACTCCGTCTGTTTAATATGGTATCTGACTTTGTTTCCCTCCAGCTCAACTTGAGCCCTCTTCCTCCCAGTAAGTGCTGATTCTCTGAGTGTGACTTCTCCCAGCCCATGCAGTTAGTTTTCTGATGAACATGGCTTTGGATAAAAACCATTATCCCAGCTATAGGATGGAAACCTAGGAATCAAAGGTTACCTGTTGTTGAGGCTTCTGACTTCCAATATTTCTAGCAAACACCACTGCATTTTTCACAAAACTACCTTGACCCCATACCAACCACACATGAGAACAATATTAGGAAAAAGTACATTTTAAGTGTCAGATATTTGGGAGAAGCCTTTTTGACCAAAAAAAAATCCACTTTAAAAAAATGTAACCAAACACTTTATTGTGCAAACACTGCAATGGGGGATCTATAGTTTTTGGATAATTTAACATAACTGGAGAAAGATTATGACATACAAGCTGGAGAAAGCTGACATACAAGTGCCTGAGCTACATAGTGACCTTAAAGCCAGCCTGAACTACAAGGTGAGATCCTGTCTCCAAAAAAAAAGAAGTAAAACTATACTAGCAGGCTTCTCAAACTTCTCAAGGAAAAATGGAATACAATGACAATGTAAATGCATTGATATTTTATGTGAAATGCTATGAAATTGAGGGGGGAAATATATTCAAATAGTCCTTGAGAAAATTTCTCAAAATTATTTTCAAAATTACTTTTTGTTTTTTAGCTGAATTTAATGTGTAAGGTAACAAAAAATCTGCTGTCTCATTTACACTAGCTAAGGTTGAAATCAATAATATTTAAGATAATATATGTGCAAAGATTGAAGCAACCTCTGGGGTCCATTTATTGGCTCTGCATTTACTGGCTCTTGTGACTTTGAGCAAGCCATTTAACATCACCCCACCTGTGAAAGCTAAGCTAGGAATAATGCCCATCTCATATGGTATTGCGAGGGTTAAATGATTTCACACACATGCAGGGCTCAGAGTCTTACCAGATTCAGAGTACAAACTGCATCATATGTATAAGCATTTGTATTATTACTGAACATTTCTCAGGGGCTGGGGATTTAGCTCAGTGGCACCGTGCCTGCCTCACAAGCACAAGGTCCTGAGTTCGATCCTTGATACCAAAACAAAAATTTTTTTCCTCAGAAAAATCCCTTCAAAATACTGCTTATTACATTAGACACAAAAAGAAAGCTTTAATTATTAATCACATTTCTAAATATAATAATTATAGTATGGAATCAATAATTCCAAAATATTCTAAAACTCAGCTTTGCCGAACGCTGAAGATGACTTTGCATCTTGTATGTCAGCCTCTAGGGGGAGCACAGGCTCTGTCGCTACCCACCCCCACCCGCCCCATCCCCTAAATCAATCCGGATCAATGATGAAGGAACTGCAAGTTCAAGGACAATGACAGGCCTGCTCTATAGGGTGAAGCTTTCAAAGGAGAAAGAAGAGTGCACACCCCGTGGTCGCCCATGTCCTCCTCAGCCCAACACTCAGGGCAGACCGGAAGGGGACAGGGACAGGAGACCCTTCTGACACAGACGCCCTGGTCCAAAGGAGGCCCCAGCTGAGCCTGCCTGATTCCTTATTCTCTGAGCCAAGCAGGGCGCCACTGCACTGCACGCCCTCGTCAGCAGCTGTCCCCATGGGTGATGGGGCCTGGGCTTTGGGCACACAGCTCTTTGCGTTGCTCTGCTTTGAAGTCACTTCGGCCATAGGGGAAACTGGTCCTGTCCAGCCTTCCAAAGTTCTACACTGGCGCTGCTCCCGGAAACCTAAGGAGCCCTTTATCCCTCTCTGTCTTTATGTGTCGGTCTCCTCTGATGTCTCACAGGGAGGCCTTTCTGAAATTGAGTACCTCTACTTCCCCCAGCCTCAGTAGTTTTACAGTCTCACCATCCCTCACCAGGACGTTGTGCCACACAGATAATACAATCTGCCTGCTTGTACACACTGCCTGGGCTCCCGCAGTGATTCACCCAGAATTAGCATCTGTTAAAAAGCTCTGAAGAAAGGTCAGGATGAAAGAATGAACAATGCAGATATTATCTCTCAAAGGTATTCTGAACTTTTGAATATCAAGTCATATGGTTAAGGACAAACACAATATCCTTGCCTATAATAGCTTTGCACTTTCACAAATTTACAAACACAAACTGAGAATAGAGAGAAACTAAACACACTCAAATAGTTCAGTTTTTACATCGTTTTGTTTTGGATGGGTTGTATTGCTTTCAAAACTGTTCTTCCTGCAGTGATAATGATAATATAAATAATGGCTCTTTTCTACTCACCATGTACAATCCTACTTTTCTCAAAGTAATGCTACACTTATTATAAACAAGTTAAGTTAAAATGGCACTGTTCAAAATAAACTAGATACTATCTCTCTTCAACATACCCACATATGATGTTACAAACAGAACTACATATCAAATCCAATTTTCCCACATTGTAGGTTGTCTCTTCTTTTTTTTTTTGGTACCGGAGATCGAACTCGGGTCTTTGCGCTTGCACAGCAGGCGGCGAAACCACTGAGCTAAATCGCCAGCCCCATCAAATCCAATTTTAAATTCAAGAGACTATTCCAGTACTTTGTCATACTATGATTTTGTTGCCATCAATTTTAGCTGAAACACAATATACTGGCCAATACTTAAAGCAAGACAGAATGTTGTTGCAGAAACTGGCTCTCTGTCCTACTTGTTATTATCAGTTTAGTATAATCATTAATTATAATAAACTCTTCTGCATCCTGTTATAAGAACTGGGATACAGATATGAACTAGGAACAGAAATAGTAAGATTCAACAAAATTACAAATAAACCTCTCTATATTATTAAAACACTTGTTAGAATATCAGATTTTGCAGAATTGATAAGGTTTCACTATAATAAGGTTTACTGATTTATGACCTAAGATTTAGATTGAAAATCCAATCTCCCCATTTGGGGGGGAGGGGGGTACCGGGGATCAAACTTGGGTCCTTGCGCTTGCGCAGCAGGCGGCAAAACCACTGAGCTAAATCCCCAGCCCTAATCTCCCCATTTTAAACCCAGTGGTTCATTGCTGGTACCGAGAGACCAAAGGGATCTCTTCTTACTTCTCTTATTTAAAGTTGGATAGGGGCTGGGGATTTGGCTCAGTGGTTCCACCGCCTGCCTTACCAGCGTGAGGTCCCGAGTTCGATCCCCAGTACCAAAATAAATAAAGTGGATAATTTCTTAGATGTACAATGGCATAAATATCTCAGTTTGGTCATTACTCCTGGATGCCGAATTACTTTTCAATTGCTCAGTTCATTAATTTTTTTCTTTCTCTTAGTACATGTTTGCAGCACATAACGTTTACATTCATTGTGTGGAGCTGGTAAATGTGTATGACACATCTTCATTCTTTTTTCACCTCTTCTC